TGGAACGTGCAAGAGAAAGCATCCAGTCTTCAGAAGACGAAAGGCGGGCACAGATACGCGATAAATCTCTTCAGGCACGGCGGCGCTATGGGTAGAGCTGCCTACGGCCAACATGACTTTGACCTGCTGTTGGTTGCTATTATGGAAGGTGTGATGCTCGTGGGCATGTTCGTGTTTCCAACCGGGGTTCTGGCAGCCCGAGCACTAGTGGGACACAAGCCGGCGCAGATCGTGCTTTACCCACCCTGGAGGTTACCCGTCAGTTTGGCCGGCAAAGCCAGGACCTCTTGGCAGTTGGATCATTTCGTGGATCTGCGTGAATGGCATGGCCGACTCGTGCTTCCTCCTGCAGCACACGAACGCTTGCTCGACGTATTTGCACAAACAGAGCATGCGACAAACGTGAAAAGGCCGACACGATGCATTGCTTTGGGCCGGTGTAGTGCTCTTAGCCATGTGGCTTTCGTAGAAAGTCTGCAGGTGCGTTTTCAATCCGTTTGAAGATCAGCTACACACAGCATGTGGTTTGTTGGAGACGTGGTGCCGTTGTGGTCGTGCTCGCATCTCTATCTTCATACTAGTCAGTTACTCGTCACAGCCACAGATTGCTTCACAGTCGATGCTTCTTGGTTCGGTTTTGTGTAGCCGAGCCAAGACGTTCTATCCCGCGGAGCACTTCTCGTGAATGGTGAATCCTTCGGTTAGCTGTCCCAGGTTCGAGCGCTGCACCATCTGCAAGGTGCGAAGCGACGGGTGGCACAAGGCGCGCAGATCGCGTAAGGGTATCAGCAGGGCAATGAAAGCCAACTTGCGTGCCGTTCCGACTAGAGGTTCGCATGCCGACGGAACTGCCTGGCGGTTTGGGCCTTCCCAGCTCAGGCTCGCTGCTCTAGGAGACAGCTGCGGGTTTGAACTCCTGCGCTTTCAGAACCAGCAAAGTGCATACTAGTATGAGATGCCAGTTGCCTTATGCCGCATGCCTTTTATAGTTTGCCTTTGGTTCTTTGGAAAAGTTCATCGCTTCAGGCTGGCAGCTAACGGTTTCGGCGGCTTGGCGGCGCATGGTCGATGTCGTTGTGCATTGCACCTGACTGGGTGTTCCATGGCCACGCGCGGAGTCTGTTCCAACGACGGTTTCTGGCCAGACACCACTGCACTGCTTTGTGCCAAAAAGCTGGCCTAGTTGTACAAGTGCGGCTTGCGTCTGGCCTGGCCGATGCTCTGTTCAATCTGTCGGCAGCGCCATGCTCATCTGAGGAGACCACAGAGTGCTCTGCCCTCAGTCTGTCCGAACTGCAACAGCAGGGTTCAATTCTGCAGGTGGAGGGTCAGCCGCTGGCATCCTACTCAGGCTAAGCTCACTCCAGCCCCGTGACAGGCTGCCTGACCGTCGCGCAGCCACAGGATCGCGCCAAACCTGGACCATTGCTGCGATCTCGGAAGGTCGATCGCAGGGGAGCAGCTGTGCAATGTCACATGTCAGGGCACAGTCTGCTGAGCAAGTTTCTTCAGATACCGTGGCGACGACTCCTGTTCTTGACAGTATGGCTGCGATGTCCGTTTGCGGCACAGTGCCTAGGTTTCGAGCATTGAACTTGGGCCCAATCGTCGTGGCCGGATTCGTCTTGGTGGGCACCCAAGTCAGCTTGATCTGTCCATGTTGCTCTCAAAAGCCCCAGCGGCTTTGCATCGGCTGTCCGGGGCACCTTGCTCGCCTCGGCTTAAGCTTAATCGCTGTGCTTGTTGTTGAATCGTATGGCACTGCGGCGGCATTGCTTCAGATCCGGTTTAACGAAAGGTGAACTCGGACTGAAGGTGAGGCAAAATGACAGCACCAGAGATTCCAGAGTGTGTATATCCGAGTGTGAACTTAAGGTCAAAAGAACTAGTCAATAATTGTGGTGATTTATTGTGGGGTTGCTTTCAGATACTCAGTTTTGTGCTTTAGCGTTGTCGTGGCTGCTGTCCGTCATTACTTCATGAGCCACGAAAGTCACGATGCAGCCTCTAGGGCGGGGTTTGACCTAGTTAGGACCTAGTTACTAGTTGCCTTAGCCGTGTCGTGCAGTCAAGCGGCCTTTGCGTCGCTTCTGGGAGATTAATGGGCTTACCATTGATGCAACATTATAGCTTTGCATTTCTTCTTGACCTTATCAAACCAGACCTCGTTTCCAGGCCTACCTTGAGCACAGAGGATTCCATCCTCAACTGATGCGGTAAGGGTCTCTGTCGAGAGTGCTGCAAACAAATCGCCTCGAATTGCTGGTTTTTGTCAACCATGTTCTCCATGGAATCTGGAATGAACCTCAGAATTTTAGACCAAGGCCATCTGAGTTTGTTCTCTCAGGTCGAGGCCTCGAGCTCCCAGAAGCTCAGCGTGGCTGCAGTGGGTACCTGAGATCAGCCCAGGAAGGAAAGCAAAAGTAGACCTTCACAGGGCGCGAAGAGACTTACGTTGAGGTTCTAGGCCACTAGAATGATCCACAAACGCGAAACCTTCGCCTGCATCGCCCGAGTCGCCAAAACCCCTGAGACCCTAAGCCCTAAACCCGACACCTTAAACCCAAAACCCCCGCTTGAAAACTTAAACTTCCAGGATTTCTCAGCATTTGGGCCCGAGGTCGGCCACCCTCGCTCCCGGGCTGTGGTATCAGCCGACTGCTGGCTGAAGCCAGGCTTCTGGGCTTGTGGATCTTGCTGAGACAGTGTGTGGCTGTTTGGGAAGAGGGGGGGGGATCCGAGTTTGGGATTTATGTATGCTTCTGGAAACGCTGCATACGGCTGAAATTGCCATGTCATGCCCATGGCAAAATTCAATCGTTTTTACTCCTTTGAGGCGTTTCCTACTTCCTGCTGCCGCTGAGCCTCCACGAGAACACGGTCATGCCGGTGGCCGGCTCCCGAGATCCGAGCCCTGAGGATGGCAAAGAAGCTTCGAGTGCAGCGCTTGTAGTGTGACCGCAGGTCATGCATCCCAGTAACCCAGGATTGTATACAGAGTGTGTATGTGCATGTAGGTATGTATATATATATACATATATATATATATATGTATGTATGTATGTATGTATGTATGTATGTATGTATGTATGTATATATGTATATATACACACACACACATATATATATATATATGTAGATGTGCATTTTAATATACATATTTCGATATCATTCAATCGATTTACGCAAGTGTATGTATGCATGTTGTGCATGAGTACGCGTCATCTCATCGATATAGACAGGCATGTCGGTGTTCATTCTCAGGACATGCCTCCGCAGCGAGTAGTTACAGACGCGAAGATGGGTTTGCTAGTTCAGGTCTTCTCCTGCTTCAGCCGCAAAGCAGTGCAGATCCAGGAGCACACGTTCTCGGAATCGGCACCTCAGCTGTATGTTATGTTCCGTTTCTTTCCGGTCCATGTGCTACAGCACAGTCTTGTCATGCTGGTGTAACGAGACTTAGAGTTATGAAGCGCTGCCACCTCAGGCCGTTCTGGCTTCCTGGGGCGCATTCATCAAGCCACTTGGCCGAAACGCCGGATTTCTCACACGATAGTGGTTTGCTTGCAGAAGGCCGCGCCATGTGCCGTGAACCTTGCAGGTGTCAGAATGCAGCGTGCGGGGTCTTTGCCAGCCACGTTCTTTGCTGCTTGTTCTTGGTGCATTTTCTGCTGGGCAAGGTCATCGGATCAATCGCCGGACAACTTCCATGGCGCAAAGCCGGATGCCAAAGTTTGAGAACTACAGATGCTCCACTAAACTAGCGTGGTGCAGTAGACTTGCACTTCTCAAGCCGGTCTGCTTTTGACTTTACCCTGGCAGCCACATTGTCAGACTGGCAGCAGTGTCGCAAAACCTTCGTGTCTGTCTTTCGTTCGTTCTGTGAATGTGCGGAATAGCTGAGTCGACTGACTTCATGTCGAGATGCTGAGCAGCTGACCTGCCATGGGCTTCCACTCGCAGAAGCATTTGTCCTACCGAGGGTCTACACGGCCAAGAGTGGCGGTGGCATGGTCGCTTGCATGGCCTGGTTCTCAACGAAGCAGCAGTTTCGCGAAATTCGAGAGACGGTCGGCACTGTTCACCTGAGACTTTGGGAAGTCCGTCACAACATCAGCGCACGCAGAGACTTTTGTGATTCACCGGTCCTGAAACGACCATGCGGTTGCATAAATAAACTCTCGGAGAAGTTATAATTGTTTGAATCTCTTTTCATTTCAGTTCTGCATCCCGCCACAGGCCGAGAACCACAGCCGCGGTCACTTTGCAGCCGGAAGCCCAGCAGCTCCCAACAGTGCTTTCAGGGAAAGGCATCTCGTGGAGCCGAGGCTGAGTTGACCTTCAATAGCATCGAGGATGGCAAGCTCCTCTTCTCAAGGCATACGTGGGCTTAAGTCATCTAGGGCTGCCTTAAGATCCCATGAATATAGGGCTCTTCCTTCCAGGCATCGCCCTGTTTTGGCCATGGCTTCGAAGACTCTCCCGCTGTGTTCTTTGCTTTTTTGTGCCCCTTGGTCGAAGCTCTTCCCTAAACCGTAATACCCTAAACCCTAATCCTAAACCCTAAACCGTCGAATGTCAGGCGCAGTGGGATCACCAAAGATTGGGTCGCGCCGGGGCAGGCTCAGATCCTCCAGGCCAGGAGTGCTCCATGGGTTTTGGGTTTTATAGGTTTAATTTGTGGTTTAGGGGTTTAAGGGGGTTAGGGTTTAGGGTTTAATGGGGTGTAGGGTTTACTGGGGTCTAATGGGGTTTAATGGGGTTTAATGGGGTTTAGGGTTTGGGGTCCAGGCTGCACGGGCCCTGGAAGTGGCTTGGGCAACGTCACTCCGGCGAGCGTGGCGCCATCGAAAAGCTTCAGACTCTGATGTTGGACAGTTTAGGCTCTCTATAACCTTTCCTGTGACAGCAAGTGAAGGCTAGCTCCGAGCCACTCCGTGCTTTGTGGCTCAAGTTGGCATATTTCTCGGAGTACTCTGGCCAGCAAGTAGCAGCAAGCTATGGCAAAGCAGGTGCGAGTGATGAGGGCCATCGCCCTCCTGGCAGCAGCTCTCATGGCTGCTTCCATTGCCAGCGCCTTCGTGGGTGTGCAGGCCCCCGCTCCGCGAGTGCAGACGCAGCTCCGTGCCGGTGGGGAGTACACCGGCTTCTGGGCCTTAATTAAGAAATTAAATCCTTAAGGCCGTAAGGGGCACTAAGAGTCAAGTTGTCAAGAGCCAAGAACTATAGTTTTTGAAGCGCAGCGAAGAACCCCCAAGGCTTTGTGCCGGACTTGCAGCGCCGTCAGCTGATGAACTTCGTGCTGGTGACCACCGCCGGCATCCCGGTGCTGGTGGCCTTGGGCTGCTACCTCTGGTACTTCGTGCCACCGGTGGCCGGCGGTGGCAGCGGTGCGACGCTGGCTGGTGACCAGGAGGGCAACCCCATCACCTTGGAGAGCTGGGTGAAGTCGCACAAGGAGAACGATCGCGAGTTGGTCCAGGGCCTGAAGGGCGAGCCGTACTACCTCATCTCTACTGCGGACAACATCAAGGACTTTGCCCTCCTGTCCGTCTGCACCCATCTGGGCTGCGTGGTGCCCTGGAGCAAGAGTAACAACAAGTTCTGCTGCCCCTGCCACGGCTCGCAGTACGATGAGAACGGCAAGGTGGTCCGAGGCCCGGCCCCGCTCTCCCTGGCGCTCGCCCACACAACCACCCAGGACGGCAAGCTGGCCCTTACCCCTTGGCCTGAGAAGGACTTCCGCACCGACCTGGACCCATGGTGGAAGGTCTGAGCCTTCTGGCCTCGACATGTCTCAGTAGCATCTCCACCTGGCGCAGCTGCGCATGCATGTCGCGCGTGCTGGTGCGTTTACAGATGGAGTGGAACACACCCTTTTTTTCCCGGTTCTCTGCAGCGAGTGATCCTTGTTGTTCAACAAGAGTGCATGCGACATTGGTAATTAGGTGTGTTTGCCAGTTATGTCAAAGATTGTGTTGTTCGATATGAACGTGGGGAACCATGCGTCTCGGTCTCAACGTTTCACGAAGATGCTACAACACACGAGACTGCTACATCATTTCTCCAGTTCTGGAACGAAAGCACGGGCTGTGTACTCATACGGTTCACTTGAGAAGATGAACTCTGTAGTCCATGCTTATATAAATTATATAAAAGGAACCCTCAGCATGGCTGGGGAGCGACATTACAGAACTGAAGTACCGAGACTGCTACATGTGCGAAAAGTTCCGTGCCCCACTGCGACGTACAAGAGAATGGGAGACCCCTCCCCAACCCCCCCTCCCCCACTCTTGCAGGTGGTGCTTCCGCAAGGCTCGGGTGGGGGCTGGCGAAGCAACCAGCGCTACGAGATGCGCTTCGTACGGTCGTGGCCCTGAGAATTTGTGCTTCAGCAGCTGCTGCTTCTGGGTTTATGTCAGAATGCCACTGAAATATCTCTCTTATGCAGACCGAATAGGGTTGGCACACATAATGATTCATTTTCGGGTTTTGCCGCATCCCAAGAGCAGAGCTTTGGTGTTTCAGTGCAGCGTCGGCATGGCACAAACATCTCTTCATGGGCGTGGCTTGGCTCAAGTTTTTAAGCAGTACTGCCCCAGGAGCAGAGTTCCCCTGCATGGATGCCTTGCCTCCACCTTACTGCAAGAAGTTCTTGTAGGTCACCTTCACCCGCCAAGCCAACACTCCTCCTTCGCAAGTACACTTGAACTTAAACCGCTGCCCCAGCGAAGTAAGATCGAAATCGAAGGTTTGAAACGCGTCAGATTAGTAGTCTGAACATTGGTGAACGTTTGAAGTCTTGAAATATCCCTAAACCCTACATAAACCCTATTCCAGCCTGCCAGAGTTCCAGCGGACTGCAGCTGAGCCGCTAGGCAGCGACTTGCAAGACCCTGCTACTGCTTTCTAGAGGGATTGTAGAGTCTCCGGTTTAGGGTTGATGGGTTAGGGTTTAGGGTTTTAGGGTTTAAGGTTCCATTGTAGTTCCTTTTCGTGGTTTCGCCAATTGTACATTTAGGATCTTATGATATGGTAACCCCAGAAAGGACCTCTTCAACCACTACGATCCGGTAATGAGCAAACAAGACAGCTCCATAAAGGAACCACAATGGAGACTATAGGCATCATGCGCATCACCCATCACCAGCCCTGAGCTGAGATCGAAGCTGATGAAGCCTTCTGGAGGCAAGCTTGTTGGGTGTTTGAGGGTCTCCCCGATATTACGCACATACATACCTAAATTACATATTGTCTAACAGTATAGGTGCATGATGTGTGCACTTCATTACGTAGGTTTCGGCAAGAGAGTTGACTGGTCTCTACCTCACGGCTTTGGCAGGGCAAGACAGGGAACATATGCACACACATAGATTTATGATGCACGCACGCATCGCACAGGGTTGCTTCTTTAGAACAACTTGACATTTCGTTTCGTTTAATGCCTCTGCAGACGTGCGTCCTGACCCTAAGCGGTCAGCAGCTTCAGTAACCGAGATCCTGTAATACAGCGCTTTGAACATGTCGTTATCAATATCCCTGTTCTCCCTGGAAATAACTCTACAATTGCAAGATACTATACGCCCAGAGCCATATTCCAACGATTAATGTCCTTGATTCGGCACAAAATCATCCAGAGCTTGGTCTTCATGCAGGTGGGCGGTGGGGCCCCTCGCTGCAACTCGTCCCTCAAAGATTCTTTCGAACGTCACAAGAACGGAGGAGCCAGAGGTTCGCCGATCTATACCTGACAGTGTGACTGTGCTACAAGTACCATCAATGGAGAGTTCCGGCTACAGGGTGAGGGATAGGTTTTCGAAGCACAAAAGCTTCAACCGACGTCTTTGGCCTGTTTCCCCAGGACTATATGCATTGTCAGACTCCGTCTGGAGCACTGTTTCGGCTTTCGTTCGTGCTTTGAAATTAGCTGGCGATTGGTTTAACTATGGATTGCCATGTGGGATGCCTTGAGAAGCAACCAAAAAAAGGCTCGGGGTATGAAATCGACCGTGAAACGCTGTGCCTCCTGCCCGCCTCAATCGCACGAGCGGCAGCTCAAGAAATGGTGACCCAGACTTGCCAACTCAGAGACAATGGACCATCAGAGAGATAATGACAAAGAGAGTGAACATCATGATTGTCTCGGCATCCGACTCAGGATTCCTTGCACGGCAGGCGGCAAAATACCGGGGGAGATCCCTGGATGGAGAACAGTTAGGAGGTCTGTTTGAGATTCTAGATTATATGGCTCCTGCTGGGGTCCCGGTCCCAGTACGTAGGGTCCTAGTATATATGGTCCGGAATGCAGAGCAAGCCCCATTTTCGTTCTGTTTGTTCACAACTTCGGGTTAACATGATCTGCTGCAAGACTCTGCGTCGGCGGCAGCGGTACAGACATGATCATTGAGTAGTTATCTTGCCACTTGGGATTGAGACGAATTTGCTTCTGATTCCTGGAAACCCACCTGAACGTGCAATGGGTTACCACAGTGCGGTCATACCTCTTCAGGACGTTGTATGGTTTGGGTAAGTATCCTCCTCATAGCTACTTAGGATCCTTTGGGGAAGTGCACCGATTATTCAAAACCGGGGATGCTCGAGGAGTGACTTCACCCACTGCCCATTTCAGCAAAGCTTCGTGCGCTGTGGACCACACCACCGAGCAGAGCTGTGTGTGCTCGACAAAGACGATGCTTGTCGTGGGTGACATAGTAGTAGAGTAGGTAACGTTTAACCTTTTCGGGGTAGTATAACCCCTATACAATTCCAGTTCTTGTTTCGGTTTGCACGGGTCCAGAGTATGGAGTATGGAGGTTCCGGTTTGCACTCAACCCTCTCTTAAACTACCATAACTTTTTGTGTGTGGGTTCTCATTATGAAGCTAATAAAGAGCCTATTTATGTTGGAGGGACACTACAAAAAGCTGGTGTTGGTAGGTTAAGGTAAACCCTACTACGTATAGCGGAGTTTTCCGCGGAGTTAGGAAGCTGTCAGCCCTTTGAAAGGGTGGGCTCGACTCTGCTGCACCGCTTGCTTGACACAAACGGATCTTCTACGAGTTCCCAATGAGTTCAGTCTTGGCATGTTTTCGATTGAAGTTCAAGGCGCGCCCACCCTTTCCGATCGAGTGCTATGCTAGAAGCCCAGTCCTTCTACAGTATTTAGGCCAGCGTCCGTAGACAACCACATTCAGCGCACTGTATAAGCAGCTGGTCTTTGTGATAAGGACATCCGTCGCTTGCATGGCGTCTGGGAGAAGTACAGGGACGATCTGACTTGGCCTGTGCATGACAAAAAGCCGAAGTTCTCCCAAGAGGCAACTCGTCCACACGCAGCACCTAGTGGTTCGGTTAGTTTCAGGTTTTTTGCTGCGAGGGTGGGGTTTCAAAGCCACGACTACTTCTGTTTTTCTTTGTTTGTAAGTAGCAAGCACGGTGATTTCTAGTCGTTGGGTTGGGATGTCGCTGCTTTTCCCAACGTCCGACTGCTTCCAGTGTTGCCAGGACTTTGAGACATTCTACGGCATTGCGCAACAAGTTGTGGATGCCATGGTGGAGGAATACAAGGTGCCGATGATTCTGGATCAAGCGACCATAAGCAACACCAACCACATCGGGCACCCTCCACATTGCGCGCCTTGGCGGTCGAAGTGGACACGCCTCTCAAAGTTTAGTGTTTGACGGCCTCCGGCCACGGTTTGAGCGCTGCATCGTTTCCGCAGCACCCGACGTCCACATCCTGTTTTTTGTTGCTCGTTCCCGGAGCATGAATATTAATCCAAAAGTGTTGCGCCTGTATTTGCGATGAATCTTCGCATGAGCCTTCCCAGCCCGAAGACTCCCTGCAAGCGGCTCGCTGTCTCAAAAACAAAAAACTCGATCCGCCAGATGAATCTTCTTTCACCCTCCAAGCAGTTCTCCAGGACAATGTGGGCTTTGACTCAGTCTGGTGGAATGGTAGACGCATACGGGGAGAAGATGAGCTTCCAGCTGCGCGAGGAGCAGTGCTGCGTGTATTTCTGAGCTTGAAGGGATCGAGCATTGGGGGTCTATGCCAGTTTGGGTGTAGCTTGCAAGGAGCACTGGTGCCATCAATCCATCCAAACAGTAGAAATTGCATATGATGCACATGGGAACGGCGATGCTTGGTGCAGGCATTGTTTATCTCATAGTCATCCCCGATTGATCTGCAGGCGGCGCTTACGTTCTTTGGAGGCCTGAGAAGACGTCATACAGGAGCGAGGGCATATCGGGTGGTTCCCTGAGCTGTTTGTTGAGTTCGTGTAATATACTCGTAGAATTCCAGAATGTCGTATGCCGATGATAGGCTTGAGGCTTGAAGAGGGCTTGCTGACGAAGCATTGAGTTGTCGATTCGCAGCTTCCTGTGCCATCGCAGGAGTTACAGCTGTTCTGTGGCATTATCAGATCCAAATGGCACCTCAGAGGCAAGCCAGGGGCACAGGGAGGCGGTACGGCTTGCCGGTCTGCAGCATGATGCTGTCAGAATCTTCAGTGTACCAGTTCTAATTTCAGCTGAGACTATATGTAGAAGTTGTAGACGCTTCTGCGCTGCAGACCAAGGCTACGAAGGAGGCGAACTTCAGTTCTTCGATACCTGGGGTGCAAGGCAGCCAGTCGCCACCTACAAGTGCGCTGAAGGCTGTGGTGTCGCTTTCTGCGGTTGCCAACGGCATCCTGGCTGCGATTAAGAGGTTGGTGCGGATTCTGCGCACGACGACTTCCGGCTTTTGGCAGTCAAGGTGACCACGCTTTTATGCACATGGGCTCGCGGTTGTTTGCATGTCAAACTCGCGAAGGGATTTTGAGAAGCTTGTTGTGATGCCTGATCTGTTCTTCACACCACTGGCCCTAGCTCTAGACTCTGAAACCACCTCAGACCCAAAGGAACATCCATGCAGTGACTGGCGTCAAGCACGGCTTTCGCTTGGTCCTACTCATTTGGACGCGACCTCCCGGTGTGCCCGTGCAAGAGGCTCAGGCAGGGCTGCGGAAGCTGGAAGACTCTGAGCGCTGAAACAGTGATACGTAAAACTAGTTCAGCCATACAGAGAGAGAGAGAGAGAGAGAGAGAGGCATGTATGTCTGGGCATTTATGATGTACGCAAGTATGTATTTTTCATGTGCTTGGGTATGCACGTATGTATGGATGCCTATGCATCCATGAATGTATGAACGTATGTCTGCTTGTAAGTAGGCACTTGCTGTTAGGTACTTGTCAACTTGTGAGTGTGTAGGCAGGCAGGCAGGTAGGGAAAGAACATGATCAAGAGCGACGCCCGCGCGAGAGCAGGCCCACGTTTGCTACTTCCGGCCCGGCACCGGCCACGGCTGCTGGCTTCACAGCCTGGTTGCTATGTGGCACTTTGTGTAATATTTGTTTTGCTTTTGATTCATCTGTCTACATATCTGTAATCTTCCCTTGTAATCTTCCATGGCAGTAGAGTCGTTTCAGATATTGCTTGATTCCGGGCGCCGGCTGGGATGATTTTGAATGTCCCCTCATGCACAGAACGGACATGTGTGGTGGAGACCCTAAACCCTATGCCTCGCCTGGAGTGTCCGAGTGCGATCACCGAACCGTAAACCTTTGCAGTAGATACTTTGGCCCCAAAGTACCCAAATAGGGACTACTTTAAGGCCATAGTATATACTATTTGGGTACATGGACCCTTAGGGTCACAGTAGACTACTGGACTACATCTCAGGATATCCAACGTGGGTTAGCGCAGCGCGCGGGTCGTCTAGAGGCCTGGCTCCCTTCACAGGCCGGCCGGGCTTGTTTAGACAGATCCTTTAGGAGCCCAGCGACTTCCTTGCAGACTCAAAAGCATGCAAAAAGGTAGAGGGGAGAGAGATCTAGAATCTAGATGTGGTGATATAGACACAGATCATGTCATTGGGCCAAGAGACAATCGCCTCTTCTGCAGAAGGTGACTTGGGCTTCTGTGAGCATGTAGGCCTGGATTTCTTTCGGTACAGAGAGGGCCTCGGGACAGGTAGGCCATCATTATTGTCGGAGGTCGGGTTTGATTTGGAAAGGCTCTTTGAAATTCATATACCCTGAGACATTGTTGTTGGAGGCTCCCCTTGACTTTGACCCAAGCATCCGCATCACTACCGAAACGCAGGTCGACGATGGCTGCCTGTGCGACGATTGCGTGGAGGAGAGGGCAAAAGTGTCCTGGAAGGCTGCCTGGCAGACTTTCGGGTGTTTGGGTATCAGGCTCCAGGGTTTTTTTCGGTTTGTGAGGATTTCGCCAGTTTCTGGGTTCAGAAGTCCTTCTATGACGACGATACGCCACAGCAGAGCCGTACGGAGGTCGGAGACCTTTCACTGGGTTCATCTTGCCTAGCCGAACTGGAGTTCCATTCACGGCCGCGAGAATAAAAAAAAACGTGTAGAACCGAAGTGCCCTTATCCGCCAAAGAAAAGTAGGATCCCAACGCATGAATAAAGTTGAAGGCTTAGAAGAACACGAAACGTACCTCATGCACGGTTCAAATACGGTTTATGGGTCAAGGAATTGGGGCCATATCAGATACTTCAAGCTCAATTCCGCAGTACATGGCATGGTAGATCGCAGAACCGGCGCCGTTTCGCATCTCAGGATTGCCTCCACCAAGTCAGCGAAGCGTCAGCGGAGAAGTCCAACAAGGCTTCCACAGTTGAGGGCCGAAAGGGCCTAAAGGGTTTGCAGGGTCTCTGGTTCGGGTTGAGGGTGTTGACTCCTTTTTGAGAAGCTGCAGAACTTGGGATGTGAATCCGGACAGCACTGGCGACAGAGGGCCCCCAAGTGCATTGAGGCATACCCCCTTTACCCATCATAACTGTAAACACCACAAAAGCCCAAACCCTTTGAAAGTTCTCACCCCTGTTTCCTCAGGCCACTCCGAGCACCAGTGCAGGCAGCAGCCCTCGCAGCCCAGTCACGCCGGACTCGGTGGGAGCCCAGGCGAATTTGTCAAGTGTAGGGAGAGATCAAAATGTCAATGTAGGTAGGAAGGTGGGTAGGTAGGCAGGTAGGTAGGAACTGGTCACTTACAGTACAAGAGCTCAAAGTCAAAAGGGGCATGAATTAAGCGAAACAGTAACTTGGAGCATAATGACAAGGACCTTAGTTAGCAATTCCCTCTTTGGTAACTCCGCTTTTTGGCTTCGGCTATTAAGAGGGGAAGTGCTCCGTCCAGGGAGTTGTCGACACCCTCTTTTGGGAGTTGGGAGATGGTCTCCGGTAATTCCCGGACTTTCGCAGCTTTATGGCCAATGTTCTGAATTTCAAAACTGTCGGTGCTAAAGTCTTAACATTGGTTTGAATTGGTTTGACGGCGGTCCGGTGAGATTCATGCGTATGGCGTTGGAAGATCTAACAATTCAGAGAAGGCAAGCGGCAGGCAAAACATCCCCACACCGACGAAGATCGTCGAATTTTCGGAGCCAGTTTAGCGCAACTTGATCCAGGTTTGAGTCGACCCACTGCTTGAAGGTTGAACACTTTTCTATGACACCACATTGCAAAATCAAGCTGAAGAGACGACTGCTTCCGCAGGGAAGAGACACGGAAGATGCCACTGCGGTCTCGGACTTCAGCCGGCAGCTTGATTCGCAATGGCTGCATTTGCCGAACAAAAATCTGTATACGTTGACTTCTAACATCAGTTGTGGGCATACACTTCGTGGCATCCGCGTGATGAGCAGTTTCTGGCCATAGCCTCCGACGCAATGAAGTCCTATACGTCCTATACATACAGCATATAGCCTTGAATCCTACAATTGTGGCCGGCGGTAGAGCCCCAAATTCAAAGTCTAAACTCGGAGCACTTCTTGATGCCAGGCACTGCCCATACCAGCAGCCTCACAGATGGTGCAGAGTCCATGAGCGCCGAGAGCTCACGGACGTCGTCGACCAAGATGACATCAGGAACCCCAGGGCCCTGAAAATTTGGCAGGGCTTAGGGGGTTTATAGGGTTTAGGGTTTTTAAATTACAGGGTTTACGGTTATAGGTATAGGGTTTGAGGAAAAGTTCGAAGAATGGACGCAAGTAGCACGCTGAGGATGTGTGAGAGGTGCAGAATGGCAATGTGCAGTTGTGTCAAGACCTCAACTCTCAAGACTTATCTACTCCCCGTAATGAGGGAGGCTCCATGCGCCGAGAGAGTTTCTACTACATGCGCCATTTAGCACCTATATATTCTAGGAACACCTTTAAGGCAGAAGTATAGAGACTATTTGGGCACATGGCGCCTTACAGTCCTCTGCACAAGGCACAACGGCACAACCCGCTTGCAGGACCCTCCAGCGGATTTGGAAGAGGCCGCATCGGGATCAGTCAGCTAGTCTTGCCTGATAAAGCACTGTAGGACTGATGGGAGGCAAGCACCTGTGCCCGCCTTGGTTGTAAAGTGCAGAGTTTGAAGTACAGTTGGAGAGTCACCAAACCCGGCTAGCATTTATGCAGGCACAGTCGACCCGGAAATCTGGTTTTGTGTGTCTGCCCCAAGGCCACATATCGGGCACAGGCATCCACAGGCCGTAACCTATGGCTTTAAGATCAGTGAACCCTCAAACTTTCAACACAGATCACACTTTGCTGCGATAGGCCCTTATCAGTAGCCCTGTTCTCCCTCAAACCCTAGAAACCCTATCCCCCCTCCGATGTTTCTCCACTGCCAAGTTGTTGAGCACTTCCCGATCCGAGAGTGTGTGCCTGTCCAGGCACCAGGACGACCTGACGCGGCCCTTCTACCGAAAGAAGCCGCAGCTTCGCCCAAAGTTGTTTAACACAGAAGCTTACATAGTTACCAAGATCATTCCGAAATTCGAATCGATTTCCATAGCTATGTCCTGAAGTATGGGCTATCGCGCTTGTGAAATGAGATGTTGAGGACGTATTCGGCAGAGGAGTTTGATGACTTCAGCCGCATCGCGCAGAAGGTGGTGAATGCCACATGCCTACAATGATTCACTCTGGGGGTTGCTTTGGTCTGGGCCTTGGTTCGTGAGACATGACCAGGGCCCAGGTCTATGAGTCGCAGTTGTCTCTGAAGTATTCGCACCGTACGTATGTATGTATGTATGTATGTATGTATGTACATATGTATGTGTACGTGTATGTTTGTATGCATGCATGCATGCATGCATGCATGCATGCATGCATGCATGGATGTATGTATGTATGTACGTATGTATGTGAATTTGACTTTGTATATATCTATACTCATTTTATGTGTATGTGTTTTAATCAAATAAATATAAATATAAATATAAATATAAATATAAATATAAACATAAATATAAATATATATATATATATATAAATACATGTGTTTTTAATTGGTTATTCACTTGTAATGATATAGATAGGTAGATAGACAGATAGATAAACAGATAGATAGATAGATAGATAGATAGATAGATGGACAGATAGGTAGATGGATAGATGGACAGATAGATAGATGGATAGATGGACCGATGGCTAGATGGACCAATGAATAGATGGGTAGAAAGACAGATACATCGATTGATAAATCGATCGGTCGGTAGGTATGTAGGTAGGTCAGATAGGTAGGTAGGTAGGTAGGTAGGTAGGGAGGTAGGTAGTGAAGTAGCTAGGTAGGTAGGTAGGTAGGTAGGTAGATAGGTAGGTAGGCAGCTAGCTAGCTAGGTAGACCGATACAGAGGTATATGGATATAAGTATGTTTACATACATACATACATACATACATACACACATACACACATACACACATACACACATACACACACACACGAAACATTCGTTCACACATGTGTACATATGTAGATAGATACCTATATATATATACACTTTTATTTATCTATTTAAATTTATATGTTTAAACACACACACAGATATATATATATGTATGTATATGTGTGTGTGTGTTTGTATATATATATATGCATAAAATAAAAGTGTACCGACGAGAGTGACATACAGAACAGCTTACTCCCACAGGAAGCCACACTGCGACACACTAGCAATCACAGGGAAACGCAGATGCACTCCATGATATATATATATTTTATATATATGTACATATATATATATACATATACATTTATTTTTCCGTGTATATATATATGCTTTGTATTTTCTAGGTAGACTTATATAGACTTATGCACACATGTAGTCTTACATTCCAAATCCCCAAGCCACAGTTCTGAAAGCAACCTGCACGAGCGAAACTCATCTGTCAGGCCATGTCCGAAGAATTCGGACAGGCCCTGGTCCTGGACCAAGCGTCGGTGAGCAGCACCAACCGCCGAGGCCGATGGAGGATTGGTAGTTTAGGGGTTTAGGGTTCAGAGTTTAGGGTTTAGGAGGGTCTATAGGGGCTAGTTCCAGAAGTTTTTGGGGGTGTTGGGGTGATAGAACCCTCTCAGGATTTGCAGAGTAGCTATACAGTGTGTACTTCGGCTTTGAAAAAGTTCCCCGCACGCAGAAGCTTCTGGCTTCTGGGCCCGAGTATGGACTAAGTAGGCTTTCGGAGCCCTTGAGTGAGTCACGTTGTACGGGTTGATGTTTCTCAGGTCTCTGGAAGACTTTTTGAAGAATTCTGGGCTCGTGTGCCGGTTTCGAGCCATGTTGTGCTCTCCAGGACAGACCCAGTAATAGAAAACGTTTGAGCATGCCTCTGCCTTCGTCGAGCCACACGATGTTTCAACCGGGGCAGGGCAGGAGAACAACAATCAGCTGCTGCAAAGTCATATTTCCTAGCACTCGCAGGCCATCCGCCTCATGCGGACAACGTGCAGTTTGACTCAGCGCCTGAGTTGCAGTTGGCAGTCGTAGCAGTCATCAGGAGGACTTCCACAAATATGTGGGTTCAGTAACACCGCCCATGGACGGAGAGCCTGCTATGTTGCACTGATCACAGAGGGCTGTGCCACTGCTAGCTCTTGGGAAAGGAGCTGTAGTATTGCAGCTCTGTCGGATCTTATTTGGGGGAGATCTCGAAAGGGGCACGCAGGAACCATGAGAGATCCTCCTGAGCCGAGTCTATCGCTCACCTGAGGGCCAGAAAGAGAGCCCCCAAAGCAAAAATGAGACAAAAGAGAAATCCCTGCCATCGGGCTCCGGGTGTTCTTTGCTTTTTGCGGAGTCCTCTTCTTGTAGAATCCGAGTTGAGGTCTGGTGGCAAGGCCGGCAGCTCAAGCAGAGCGACGAGGTGGAGGCCGCCCGTGGCGGCGCCCCGGTGCTTTGGAAAGCATCCAAGACGGGCTACAGGACAGAGCTGTGATGGGTCCCCTACACCCTGAGCTACTAATCCCCTATTGAGGGGGTAGGGTACGAAAGCCCCTCCTCCGAAAACCCTGACCTGAGCAGCCCCAATCCGCCGCCGACATCAGACACAACGACCAGGGGCAAGGCAAGCCTCAAGCTCTCCCAGTCTCCCCAAACTTCTAGAACCATAAACCATGGACTAAACCTTGACCCCTTCATCCCTTAACCACCAACCTCACAACCCCCTTCCAAACCAAGAAGAACCCGAAACTCTAAACCCCAAACCCCGTAGGAAAGGAGACAAAAACGGCAAGCCCTGGATCCGCAGGAACTACAGCGCCTCCATCTCACTGACAAACCCCGAGGACTATGGCGGCGGAAACCTCGAGTTCTTTGGCTCCTGGGGCGCCTGGGCTTTGAAGGTTTAGGGTTTAGGCTACATATAGGGTTAGGGTTTAGGGTTTATAGGGCTTAATTATGGGGTTTATCGGGCTTAGAGGGTTTGGGGTTTAGGGGTTCTGGCGCGAGGGAGTTGGGCCCTACATACAGTGCTTGGGGCGCGGCTAGGCATTATAGGGTTTGGGCTTGAAAGGCTTCGTGTTCAGGATTTGCTTATAGAATTCCGAGTTGAGGGTGTTGGGGTGTAGGCTTGCCTTCGTATGCATGGGAGGTTCGCTTCCGCACGGAGTGATGTCAGCTACTTGCGCACTGACTCTGTTCAATCAGGTGTAATGTTTTTGAAATGCTACACTAAACCTTTACCCTAAGGCTCAAAGGACTGGCATATTGTTCGGGCTGTTGTGCACAAAGATCTTATTAAGATGTCTTTGTTATTACTTTGAGCTGGAAGGCTTGTTCCGAAACCAACAATTCCACGAAAATGCCTAAGGGCCTAAGCTGAAGCCCCGGAAGTTTAGCGTTTAGGGCCATTTAGGGATAGATGCAAGACTGCAGGGTGCGGGGACACCGAAAACTAAGGGTTCAGGGTGGAGAGCTGGAGGCCTGGGCTATAGAATCTGACGGGAAAGGACAAGGCTCGTCGTTGTTTTTCTCTGTTGTGTACATGCCGAATGTGGAACATCCAAAAACGCTGCAGAATGGCAAGGTTATGCTCCAGCATTCACCATTTGATAGTCTTTTCTCAAGGCCTTTAGCAGTTGAGCCATCATTTTGTAGGCTAGCCTCCGAGCGGAGCCATGATCGTGATGGCCTTGAGCCAACACAAGTTCAAAGTATGCGATGCGATGTTTCCAAGATTCGTTTGTTCAGGCAGTTTGACCTTTTCGCAGGATGCAGCAGGCCGTGCAGGGATCCTCATCGTCAGGATGTCGAGGTTTAGGCATTCAGATTCTGTGGTTCTGTCCTGCCGATGCGTTGCACAAGATAAAAGTGTGCCAGTGACCTGTGCCAATGAGGTGCTACATCGCCTGAGGCTTGCATGCGGCCACCTGCAGGAAGCGGTAGCTAGGCGAACTTGGATGGTTGATGCTCGTATAGTTACACATTCACTCACATTCAGCTCGTCATAGTATACTGTCCATCTTCGTAGTACGAGAGAATCGTCGGTACCTCGGACTGTTGCAGGCTGGAGCATAGTAGCTCTATAGGCGCGTGGTGTCGGAATCAGTGTCTCGGGGGTCATGGTAAGAAAATGCGCGCTTCTCCTCCGTGTCACGGCATGTCCTTTTTCGCGGTGATGATGAGCAACTTAAGGCGTCGCATTTTGCGGGTGCCAGAACAACATCCACGCGGTTTCTGGAGTGACCCGGGGTTTCAGGCTCGTCCTGGTGGTGTGGACACGACATCCGGATGCCTGTGTTCCGGAAGAGCAGACACACCTTTGCTATTTTCGGCCGGGCACTGGCCTAAGTATTTGGTTGACTTCTGCAGATCTGCAGAACTACCCGAAGCGCAGGCGAAAAAATGTTGGCTGTGGTCCACATCGGTATGGGGACGACGAGGTGCTTGAGCTGAATGCGACGACACCGAGCGCCGAATGCAAAGAGTTTGCAGAGAACTCCTCGTCCCTGGATTGGTCGCTAGTTAACTGAAAGCAACAGGCCTTTCGCCAGATTCAAGGGGCTCCGATCCGGCTTCACCTGCTATGAATTTGTCGGTCGACTACCGGTTGAGCTGGTTCTGCAAGGCTACTGCGACGGTGTTGTTTCGTGCCTCTGACCTATTTCTAGGCTTGTCAAGCCTGGTCGTCACAGGCGCAGTAAGTACCAAAGATCAGCGGCCGGTGCATGACCTGGCCGAGCCTTACTGGGACCGGTCTCCGAAGATGGCTTCGTGAAACAGAGCCGACTCTCATCTCCAGAACCAGGCTTTGCGGCCAGCTCCAAAGGGGAAAAAGTGCGACTTTGTTTTCACGGCCTACATAATGAGTTTAGTGTATTTAGGGTTTGTATTTCGGATTTGGGTCCATCTCTGCATGCGAAGAAGACTGCAGGCGAAGCACGTGGTGCTCTTTTTGGACCCTTGTGGTAACTAGTGGATCCTCGTGGACAGTTGCCGTAGTGGGTTGAAGAGCCACAAAGTCGTCAGTGGCCCCTTCGACCCTGCGCCCATAGGTTGCTTCGGTTTGCCTTGCGAGCCATCTGGCGTTACCACAACAGATGGAAGCGAGTGTGGCCTGCAATTCCGGCACGGCAAAAACTATAGGAGGCCTGTTGCCTCTATATATAATATATATGTATATATATATATACACGTATGTATGTATATTTATATGAGAGAGGCTCCTTTAGGGTCTA